TATATATATATATAGCGTCTCAGTACAGACTGCCGTCTAAGGAACACTATCATCCACAATAGGCGTCGTCATTGTAAAGCACAGTCATTCTGACTGAAACCGAAAGTGTGCCATCCAATTCCTGATTCAAAGGTGGTGCACGATTTTTTATTTACAATTCACTGTTTCAAACCTTGTTCAGTAAATAAATTTGTTTTTTGCCCACAGGGGGAGCTTCTCTTGCGGGAACAATATTTTAAGGAAGGTTACTGTGATCACACAGTAGCCGGCACGCTTTGGCTTGCCCACCCGTATTTTATTAGACAGCGCCATGTATCTCGATACTTTCTGCATTCTAAACAGGGCTTCACTTCCTCGCAGTTCATGCTAACCAGTCCACATACAACGAACTTGGTGCACCTGGGGAACAAAACCCAAATACTTCGTTATGTTAATTTCACGTGGCTCTTTCTGTCCATGAAACTTACTGAAAGCCGCCTCTTCGATTCTGTTTAGCGATGGCTTTGCAGATGATACTTCCTCCCGAACAACAGTCCTAAACGCTATCAGTTAGGAAACCGGTTTTCCGGAGACATATTTGCAAATAACATTGGTGTTAAGGAGAGGCCCAACTGAATATCAGCTCAACCCCCTTTTGTAATGAACGTCAACGAGCGATTGAGTGGAGTCTTCCATTAACATCAAGTTAATTTGCTAGTGATTGCATAACTCCACTTACGTATACGCTGACGTTTGTATGGTAAGTTTGAAAGGAAATCCGGGTAGCCACCTACTCAGTAGAACTGCAGAAAGACGAAGCCGAAAGTGGGTTGTTAAAGTTTTCAGCAGCATAAGTATAAGCATTGTACAAGTAGTGTTGAGTCGAGAAAACCAATAAAGCCATGTTATAATAACTCAGTGCTCCTTTTATTCAAGGGTTCTATGACCGTGCTGCTATTCCCCTTACAGTAGCTTAGGGAGCTCGGAGGAAACTGCATTGAAAATCGAAACCGATGACTAAAGGGGACGAATACGCTCATGGTTCGCATTCCGTAAATATGCAAGCTCGCTCGCCTAGCTTGGTTTGTTACCGATGGTAGTGGTATTTATCGCTTTCGTTGCACTATTTTCAGTTCTGAATACTGTCAGACAGGAAAGAGTCTGGTGGCCGTGCTCCGCCTCGTAGCGAATGGGATTCTCGACCAGGAATGTGCTAATATTCAATGACATTGCGCGACTGTTGACTGATAATAACGAAGTGATGTGATGGTGCCTTAACCTCAAGCTATAGTAGGATTTGAAGAGGGGCGAGGTGGCCCAAGTGTTTATTTTAGAGCGCGAATTTACTTAACGGAAGTTCCGTTGTTCGAACCCGACCTCTGCTTCTCGAATTCCCCTGTCTAGGTTCGGGTAACCTGGCAGTATCCCGGCCCTCGTGCTTCCTTCGGTTGGCATGGCAGCTAGGGGAAGGAAGGGCGTTACAGCTAAGCGACTAAAAAAGGATTTGAAGACCAGTGTTGTGCGAACGCTCTGAGGCGGCCTCCGTTATGTTCTCACTTTTGGGTCAACACGTTTAAATTGAGCAAGAATTCCCGGAAACCCCAGAACTTGGCATAATTTCAACACTCTCGCCGGTGGGACGATACGTTAGGTTGCACCCCTTAAGAATTTACTCCATTCTTTAAAGCGAATGTTTTTCTAACTTCTTTTCATCTTTTCGTCTTGCAACCACAGTAGTTTTTCCACGAGTCAGTATTTATGGATAACTGGAAACGGTAAAAGGCAAGTAATTTAGGAAAAGGAGCAGGATAGGCGACCAGACAGTTTCGCTTTGAGTAAATTGTTAACACAACCCTTAACTTTGTTCCTTTCGACATGTTATTTCAGCCGGAATTATATACGGCATTTTTGCACGCGCGGCGCGCTGTAGAATTCCGATGTTTGCAGCGCCTAAGTGACTACGTGCAAATGTAAGTTCCTCTCTGTGCTTCTATGACGTAATGATCCCTTACTTGTTGCAAGTGTGTACAATTCAAAAAATGGCGTCTGGATTATGCCAGTGGATGAAGAAACTCCATGGATTTGTCTGGTTCCCTTTTTCAGTTGGGCCTACTTATATAGCCGTAGCCAACAATCACTCTCAGCACTTGATTGGCTAATTTCACTTTATCAGCACGAAGCGGTTGAGGGAGAACGACTCCGCATGTCTCAGTGTCCTGTTATGTCCTAACATCCGAAAGTTTCGTACTTAGCGCGGTCAGGGAAATATCTCATATCTCGAGAGGATGGCTCCTTTCCGAAGGATCTCTGTGAGAGGGTAAAGTTTGTTGAGAATGCGATGGCCTTGGGCTCAGCGAGTCGAGGGTGCGACGAGCAGAAAATTCCGGAGTTATCACTTTTCCATTAAATGAGTTTTCTCACTTGGCATCAACTACCGTGAGAGTACAAATCGATTTCAGAAATATCTCAAACGAATCCGAAAGTTTCGTACTTAGCGCGGTCAGGGAAATATCTCATATCTCGAGAGGATGGCTCCTTTCCGAAGGATCTCTGTGAGAGGGTAAAGTTTGTTGAGAATGCGATGGCCTTGGGCTCAGCGAGTCAAGGCTGCGACGAGCAGAAAAATTCCGGAGTCATCACTTTTCCATTAAATCAGTTTTCTCACTTGGCATCAACTACTGTGAGGGTACAAATCGATTTCAGAAATATCTCAATGGTAACTGGAGGTGAGAAATGTCATAGTCATACATCAACCGCACTTGGTTGACTTTAGTGTCTTGCGCTATACTCGATCAAGGTCGAGGATAGTAAATCTCAAAAATTCGTCTGGATTTGGAGATCTAGGGTGTCTGAAAATACCCAATCCAGCGATTTTGTGTAAAACCACCCTTTGTCAAATAGGTCTATTTCGGTGGGATACACAACTCACAGGGTCGCTGAGGGTTGTTGACAGCCAGGTCTGTTTTGAATTAATTTGGAATCTGTACAGATCCAAATAGTCTGGCAAGTTGTCTCCTTTGTATTTCAGGACTTTCTGTACTTCTGTGCCAGTTGTTCAGTCATATGTTGGGAGGATCTTGCCTCGCTCACGGATAGAGAATTGCTTAAAGCACGTTATGTGGTAATCTGTCGAAATTTAGTCCCATTTTATGTGACCTAGTGTTACCGAGAATGCTTGTTCGTCACCTTATTGACATTTTGAAGCCCTCACCGAGAGCGTTTAATTTGCACACATGGCGCAGTGATCTATTACCGACACTGTAGCTTGTGCTCACACGATCTTGAAATCTCCAGACGGTATGACGAACTACTTCCTTGTCATCTTCACAACTCTTTCGACCGAGTCGATCAGGAAATTCCGCTTCATAAACACTAACTGATATTGTAAACCCCCTCCTCAGCCTCAGGCATAGCTTCCGTTCTAACTCGAGGCAGTGTGATTAGGACGGGGAAGGGATGTCAAAAACTTGATAACGGGAGTGCCGTTTTGTCATCGCTCCTATTCACCTTTGACACATGCCTTGAAACCCAACCAACTATACTGATGGAAATGCAGTTCATAGAGCGTGTACTATACTGTACTGCTGTCGCACGCAGTTCGATTACTAGAAATTTTACACTTACCATCACTTTGTCGATTAGTTTAGATTGTTCGGTTGATGTTCGATTGATTGCTGAGGAACTATGTTACCATGAAATGACGCATTCCCTAGTACTCCGTCCGCCTTCATGCCATAGGCACTAACTGAAAAATACCGGAGTCGTTCTACGAGTTTTTCCAACACTGCCAGCGAAGGTCCTTCCCATCCGTTACACTGATTCGGCCAGGTACTTCTGTGGTCCGTCGATCTGAGAGGTGTTTTCGAAGCTGAGTTCCTTGGCCCAATGTGAACATGCCTTGTCCTCCTAATTCCTCGTTTTTCGTCTATCTTCCGCTTTAATAGCTTAGGTATACACCTCTGTATCCCGAAAATTGTGTTCCAAAAATGCGCATGCAATTACGAATAGTTAAAATCTATCGTATTTTAATAAGAACATGCCTTGCTGGGTCAATTCGAACCCCAGTACTATCATTTGCTCATCCATTAGGTGGAACAAAAACTTCGGTACGTAAAAGCTGGGGTTCATTTATTCCCCCGCCTCCCACGTTGTTTGATATTCCTTGTAATTCTGCCTGCTTTTAGAACACTTGGATCTGGTGCTAATTGTCAGTTGGACAGGCGCTGATTTATGGGTTACTCGATTGTTGGGTGGGATGGTGGTACCGTGTAATACAACATCAGCAATCCGAATGTTGAAGCCAATTAGCGCTCTATAACAAATCGGATAATAATGGATTCCGAGTTGTGGGAATGTAGTTAATCAAGGTAGGGCAAAATCACAGAGACCTGTTTGCGTTTCGCCTTGATCACTGTTCTATGGCAGGGCCCGTCGCTCCCCAGGGACATCGCATTATTGTTGAGGTTGATTGATGGCGATATTTTACGTGGCTTTTGTTTGTTCACTTTTACAAAACCGTGCGTGGCTTGTAAAGCCCAAGGGAAAACGCAGAGATCTGTTGAATGTGGCAGTCGAACCAACCTGATTCCCTCCGGTCGACCCACCGGAACGGTCTCATGTTCGTTGTTGAATTCCACCGACAAGTGTAGATCATCGGCTACCCTTGTTTCAACTCTTAGTTGGGGCACCGTCGATGCTACAGCACACTATGGTTCGTATGACAGGTATCAGGTGAGGAGACTATGAAGCCATCATATGGTGTGTGTGTGTGTGTCTGTGTGATAATGGAATATTCTGTGCCTGTATGCATGTAATCTAATCTGTAGTGTTTGCCAACGAACATTCTTATCTAGCGTTTTAGTTCTATGGTTGGAGTCTTTGGAGACCCAAACTATTTTTACCATCCTCAGTGATCTGACCGCGCAGCTTGATGTGCATTTCACACCTGAAAAGTGTCAAATGCTACTGCGAGTTTGAGTTAGACGAAATTTAAAATCATGCTGGCAGACCAACTAATCAAAATGGTGGGAAATTGGCTTATTTCAACAGATGCATTAGCCCCAGGACTTTTGAAGTTAGATTGCGTTAGGTTCTGTTACGTGTGTTGGAACGCCGGATCAGTAATGTGGGTTTCTGCGCATGGCTTTCTGAACGAGCCGTACACCCGCCCTAGAAACTCCATTCACCTCCCAAGAGTTATGCTGTTGAAGTCTCGTTCTCCACATGCTTAGGCACTGTATGCCTCATGGCACTCCTCTCACTCAGTTAAAGACTGACTGAAACTGTTTCACTGCAGTCGAGCAATGACCCGGCAAAGAAACGTGAATGTCTTGACCGGAAGACTCAACTAAATCGCAGCTGCCATGTCCTAGCTCTAGAACCCCGAAACTGATTAAGATACTGTCCAATCGCACTTAATCGCGCTTCAGTGTCCAAATCATCACATCTAATGTGCAAGACTTCTAATCCCCGTCTGTCATGAAAACTGCAGATTCCGAAACAGTCAGCTGGCTAAGCCATCGCCTCCAACGGGCATCTATTCTCCACTGACTGTAATCAGTGAACCGAAGTGTGTCGAACAGATCTGGGATGGTCTCGATGCAAATGTGAGGTGACTGGATAGCCGGACCGAAATGAAATCGGTCAGCGAATACGAAGTAATTCTTTAATCAGATGTTCGTGAACTCTTAATCCCAATTCTGTCGGTTGGTACACCACGCAGATCTCTACAATCGGTTATCTGTATCATGAGTTCTTGTTTATAGAGTTTCGCCAGCCAGTTCGGTTTCTTCTGCATACCTTCGCAAATCCTTTGTTGCAGGTGTGAAAGCCGGAACTTCACAGTGATGAACGAGAATTGGGCATCTAAGCCAGTCGTAGAGCAAATGAGTAAAATGGACGAACTTCAAGTGAGCATCTTGCAAATCTGAGTGTGAGGGTATCTTTGACCGTTTCTACTCCATTAACTTTAACAAAATATCCACATCGCCAAGTCTTGCACTACCTCCTAAGTACGTGTCTTCCTGGTCGAGAAAGAAGACTTGACTGTTGAGCTGAATTTCCCTTCACTTATTTCGTCTCGTTTTATTTATCCGAATCTTGCATCGTGTCAGACTCAGTCTTCAACTTCTTAGTAATTTCTCGCTTAGTGTTTGATTAGAAATTATTCGAACATCTGGTGCTTGGATACCCTTACCTACGAGGAGTCGTTCCATACCCGTTAACAGAGCTTTTGGTGTGCCATTTGCAGTCGCTTCTATACGGCATGACATTGTCCTGAGATCACGTTAGGTGAATTTCGCTTCCAATTTGATGATGTTTTACTTTCAGGCTTTTGGGGTGAGATTGGAGGTCATTTTATTCGTTTTATCATAAGCAGATACTTCAAGTACACTTCAAACTGTCTTGCTGCTTTAATAAGTCCGTAGCTCTGGTTGATAACTTTACCACGATCTCGTCGAATGTCGAGACTTCTGGCCTTTCTAATATTTCCCCAGCGGTCGCCGGATGCGGTGTCAACTGCTTGTATCTGCGTGTGTAATCTGACGAATCGTTTCCTCAGACTGGAAGATGAAAAATTACGACGTCAGTGCGGTCTAGCGCGAATCTCATTTCTTTGCTTCTAATCTTTTACAGCTGTCCAAATTCGTCGCCGAGGCACGTGAGCGATTTTTTCAGCTGGAGTCAGTCGCAAAGCAGGAATATTTGGATCAACTAGAGGAGGATACTGTTGACTATAGAAATGAACAAAAGGTAATTTTTCAATCTGTGGAACCACCCAGGCTGTTGCTTGAGGTGAACACATTTTACTCTCTCTTGCAAGTTGAAATTTAGGACAATCAATAAGTTAGGTGGACAAAACCAATCCGGCCATCCCTCTTGACTTATACCGCTGAACTAACTCACGAGAGTGTAACTTCAGGTTGTCATTTTTGGGCAACCAGACTGCATTTGTGAGGCCGATTGGCCTTGTGAGTGTTGAAAGAGGGTGAATTTCGATCATTTGAAAAGGTTGACCTGACTGAGAAGTCATTGTTTCAGAAGGGCTTGGTAAACAATTGTTTTTTAATTAGCGTGCGTTTCGCTTTTAACACAAAATCTTCTTCAGGCTAGATGAGCAAGTCACCAAGTTGACCAGACCTCAAGGTAGACGTAATATCAGTAAATCATTGTTTCAGAAGGGCTTGGTAAACAATTGTTTTTTAATTGGGTAGCGTTTCGCTTTTAACACAAAATCTTCTTCAGGCTAGATGAGCAAGTCACCAAGTTGACCAGACCTCAAGGTAGACGTAAAACCTATCAGTAAACCTCTTCAGATTGGCGCACCAGATCAATGTTGAATGTCAAAGGCTACCTAAGTCTTCCGGTTGATGTGTTGAGGGAATTTCATATTATTTTTTATCAGGTTTGGTTCCTCAGTCCCGGTTCAATTTGCTTCAATCGAGGATTCACCTTGGGTGCCGCTAAGTAGATTTCATTGGTCTATGTGGGCTTGTAAGCGCTACGACAATTTCTTCAGAGCTAAGCTACTTCTGATAACTGCACACCACTACGTGTCAGCTCGACTGATCTAAAACCGTTCTTCACACGCCAGGCCTACGCCTTGTGTTCTATTTCCCCGCCCCCTGGCCACCACTCTGTGGTGCGGACCTCAGAACTTCAACATTTTCCAAATCTATTTTGTGTTCCGTGCCCGGTACATGTTCCGCCGTTGGTGTTTTTCAGTAACGCTCGATGTTCATCTGCATTTCTCGGTGGCCTGTTCATTTTCCTCTTTTGCTCTGGTGTGAAGTTCGCTGTCCGTCTGTCCTATATAGACCTTAGTGCAGTCGATGCATTTAATCTTGTGAACATGGTACCTGGTTCTGTTCGCCGGGATGCGATCCCTCAGTTTCACCAATGCAGAGCGTGGTGTGTTTCCTTTCTGGAAAGTCATTCTTACGTTGGCTGTGCGTAGAAGCCTTCGAATGGCTTCTGATATCCCTGGTTTGTATGGAATAACAACAGTCTCAATACATTCCCTGATGGGTTTCCCGATTGGTACCAACACCCTTCGTAATTGACGCCTAATCCAGCTAGCTAGATATCCACTACTCTCGAAGTTTGTTCTTTACTTCAATTTAGGCCACTATCCGATCAAATTCTGTGCCTAGGGCCCTTACTCGACTAAACTTTGATGACGCCATACCAGTGGTTACTGACCTCGGATGGGTAGACGAGTAGTTCAAGATAGCCCCCGTGTGCCGCCAATTTCGTGCAATTTAGGTTCAAGTTAAACGTACGGTTGACGGAAACTCGAGAACTGCGCTTACATGATGAGCCCCAAGAAGGACGATATCGGTGGTGGGTTGTCGAAGAGTTTTCATCAACCGTATGAGTAGTGTATTACGTCTATTCACTGATGGTGACTTTGAGGGATAATATATCCTACACAGCCTGTTGCAGGTGATTTTACCAGAAGCCTAAAATATTACTACACCATCTACAGTATGATCGGACTAGTAGCCTAAACCTGTTGTCTCGAGGGCTCAGGGCTCTAACCAATCTGCTAGTTAAAACTTGTTAACCCTAACCAAGTGAAAATGTTCCTTGCAGTGTCGAAGTTCTCAACCAGTCAGCTGCTGTAAAAAAACTTGTTTGGTTAGAACGACACGCTTGTGAATGAGCCGTGCTGTGTTGTTTGAACGAATCGCTCCTTCACTTTTGAACTATCCATATATTTTCTTAGTGGGAAATGGACTGCCTAGCCAAGATGCAAGAAGAAATTAACCGAGAAAGTCAAAGTTTAGAGGAACAGCTGAAGGAATTGGATTCTGGTACGTCCTACTTGCTATACTCTCTGCTTTCTGCTGTATAGTTCAAATTAACATCACCGGGCTCCCTTCGTTTCTTCTTCTCTAGCTTCTACATTTACGTAATGGCGATACACCGATATTCACTCTTGATCTTGCTGTCGATGGTGAGGGGGCGTTGATTTTATTAGCTGTTTATTATTTCATCTTGTCTGGGAGACTTAGATGCATTAATTTATGTCCTCGATAAAACAATACATTCTCAGTCGTTGAGTACACATCAAAACACCACATATTACCCTTCTTGAATGCCTTGTTAATCTCATGCTGTGTGGTTTAAAACACTAGCCCATTTGCAGAGGAAAACAACCAGTCAAATGGTGCCTTCGAATGTGATGAGAATTCACAAATTTCAGTGGTAGGACTCTCGTACGCACTCTATGGATCGGTGTTTTCGATATTGAGAAGTTTGTGAAGCGTAAATTGAGATTTCGTCCTGTCAGTGAGGCTACTCTGTGACGAAGAATTCGTCAGCACAGTATACGCGATCCGCCAGCACACTGCCTATGGTTCTGAAAGAAGTTGAAACAGCTGTACAGTGCTTGTCTGCTTTTCACCGCTGACTCACCATACTTTCAGGATGAGATCTCAGTCGGATCTATCGTTGGATTGGAACCACCGGGTTTTACCCGAGAGGTCGCTAGCTCCGATACCAGTCTAATGCGTACCCGTCAATTACGGTGCCATCATATTCAACAACCTACACAATCAAACGGAAGTCATACTGATGCAACTCCTTTACAACCGAGTGACTGAGCGGATGACTCTTCATGGGTGTGCAATCGGACTGAACGTCCTGCTCGCCCTTGTTACTGCCCGCGACATTGTTGAACGAAAGATAAAATTTAGAATTGCCTCCGAACCAGCGACCTTGTGGTTACCAGACAAGTGCTTTAACAGCTGCTCCGCTGAGGCCGCCTCACAATAATGGGATTGAACTTCAAGTAAGATTCAGGTAGATTGACTCTCATCGTCATTATTGAAATCCTTAACAGGCTTTCTTAATGGGTCGAACTTTGACATCGTCCATACACTCGAAGACCCTTAGTGTGAACTGTTGTGAGTTAGAAGATTTGGCTAATATTTGATTACAAACCTAAATAGACCAGTAAAAACGAATCTCAGACGCTTGAGCGTCGAGTTGAAACGCACACTGAGGGTGAATAAGTCCGAGTGGATATGCCATTTATTCATGATCGATTCCGGTCCCTTTATTGGTGGGGAGTAATTCCAAATGGCTGTCCAGTTGACCCAACAGCTTCCCAATGGTTAGTCTCGGAAGCGAAGGAGAGAGTGGAAGTTTTACCGGTCATCTCAGGTGGGCCAAAGTTAATTTTCCATATTAAATATGATTCGCCACAGTTTTTATTCATGAAAAACTTCTGAATGCGCATCGCTTGCATTTTCTAAAGTGATCCTTCTGGTTGGTTTCCTAGAAATCAAATCCTGGATCAGCTTACGGGATCAGTGGAATAAGACGTCAAAAGGTAGGTTGTACCATTGTAAAGATCGTTTTTCTCAGTGGTTATCCCTTGGGTCACCAATGTTTTTACACCAACCTCACTGTTCCACCTAGTCCTTCTGAATATGTCTCGTCGTTTCTGCTAGCTCCCTTGGTCAATACCAATAGGTACGCAGTACCATTGAAGTGAAGAAAATTAACGATGCGCCTGTGTTAGAAGAGTTGCATAACCAAGTCGATGTTGTCGTGCTTTTCTTTCGACCAAGACTAGTTGGCACTGTCATTGGCGTTTAACTGTTTAAATGTGCCCCTCAGTTGGATTAAGACGCAGTATATATTTGCGGAGCAATCAACGCACCCAAGCTACTAGTAGGCTTCGTCAACTTCGAAACGCAAGAGTCATTACCAACGACTAGTGGATAGGCGCTCTGTCTTCAACTGCGGACAAGTAGCCTCCTTCACAAAGTACTGAGACTAACGTCTCTACTAGAATTTTACTACTAATCGCCCTTGGGTCTGCGTGTAAAATTCATCACTTTCAGTCGCGATCAGCTGCCTACATTGAGAAATTAAAACTATGCTAGGAACGTATTTTCGCTGATATGAAGTGTGTGTAATGAGAGATTTCTATTCTAAGTAATTTAAATCAGATGTACTGCTAGTGTGCATCCTCTATGCAAAGAAACATCTCTGCGTCTCAAAGCAAAAACAACTGCATGTTGCCTTCATCAATACCTGCGTTATACCACAGACCGGAAACTGTGCGACACCACACGCCGAATTTAAATGCTCCACCGTTCCCCTGTAATCCAGGCCTAGAGGCAGTAGAGCAAGAAGTCCGGAATCTGACGCTTCAAATGGAAAAAATGACCGAAGAACATACCCAAATGAGTAGAGAACTGTTTGAGAGGCTGTCAATGTCATGCGCCCCCGAAAGGCGTTGTCGTGGACCAGTTACTTTTGCTGTTGGAGCTAAAGACCTCTTCAATCCATTGGATAATAACCACAGTTTAGACCCCCCAGATGATGACCCAGGAGAAGTTGCTCAGGAAATCGCAAAACTGTGAGTAATGATTTATTAACGAGTGTTCGTTTTTCTCTGATTGATTTTTTATCTCTTTGGGGGGTGAAGGTTTCGGATATTCTGAAATTCCCAAGGACTGTGGACACTTCATGATTTGATTGCAGGAGCCGCATTTACGTTCATTATACGTTTGTCTCTTAACGTGGAACTTACTAGTCTTCCCCTGAAAGTAGACGAACCACTTGACCGTTTGCAATCACTCAAGTTGCATAACCTGATCCTCAAGATCTTATTTGATGTAATGTTGATTTGTATGCCTAGTTTGCTCTTGGATTCATTATGCAAACGGGAAAGTTTCCTGTTTTTTTAAAATCCATTCTCCATTGTTGTCCCGGTGTTTCTAAGTGGATCTTTGAGTAATCCGTTCCTAATCAATTCCACCAGTTTATTTGTTTCCTGCTTCTCTTCAGTTTTCCTCACGGAGGCGGCATGAAGCAGTTCAATAGAGCCCTAACATTCGCTAGAGACCCGCATAACAACACATTGGAATCAGTTTCAGAATAGTTGAAAGGTACTAGGACATCCAGCCACAAAGTTATGGTACGATATTAACGATTATCGGCCTGGTTCTAACTAGACAGATTTCTCCTACTAGCTCGACTACTACTACCGGACACACGGCAGAAGATAAATCCGGTAGAATGATGAAGCGTGAGGGGAAATGCCGTCGTCAGATTCACTGTTTTTGTTATACGCCATCTAGCATCGAGCTTAGGCTCGATTGAATTACTGGTCTCAATCCCCCGGAGCAGCCAGTGAACAGCACTTTTAACTATACATTTTACTGTACATGTTGTCGGCCAAGGTTGCAAGTGGGGCAGGAATTGTCACGTGGTTTGACTGTTTGTGACGCGTGATCTGATGAGTGACCTCTACAAACTACACACAACCAGCCGAAATCACAAAGTCTAACAACACTAGTGCTAACAGGGTTCCATTAGCCCTATGTGCGCCTGATTAGGAACACCGTGAATCGAGTTTGATAACGTTCCTACTTTCGGTGTTCATACAATTCCGTTCACCGAAAGCTCAGTTACCCCAACAGCTGTCACTGAGTGTCTTTTTCCATGGTCTTTACTTTGTTTTAATGGACATGATCCTGTTACTTTCAAGCTGAACCAGTAACAATAAGCCTTTAATGACTTGGAAATGGGGCTACTATCTTATGGTTCCTGGTGTGCGGTCTTGGCGGTTTAGTTTAGTCTTCTGAAAAGTGTTTAGCGCGTAGATCATGTAGATGGCATCCGCTTACCCCTGGACGAATTCGTTGAGCATTGTCAGTGTACCCCTAAACTACCCTCATTTTAAGCTCTGTATTTAACGAATCAGGTCATCATTGTCATTGGCTCAGCTGCACGAAGCGGGCCTGAAAACCTCCAAAACTATTATATATATATATANTATATATATATATGCATCCACAGATGAACGTAGTACCGGCCAACTTCATGCAACAGTTGAGTCTATATTACGGGTCAAGTATTCTCACCTCATTACCGGTCATCTAATATATCATCTAACTGATCGTGATACGAGCACTACTAATGTTTCGCAATGAGACCATGCAACTTGAAGTTACATATCCTTGTTGGGACCACTCTAAAGTTGTCAGTTTAAATCGGATCAAGGTTGCCTTCTCTGTTCTTTGGCACAGCAGTTTTTTTAGTCAAGTTGGTCGTGCATGACACGCGGACGAAACGCTAGGTTCGCCCTAGAATGGATTAGATGATGACTTCATTGTTGAATTAGTGATTTAAATGGAGCCTAAAACATGGCACCAATCCGGAGACGATTCTCTCACCCCTAAAGTCCGTGCTTCCACTCCAACTCAACTTCAGCTACTTGGTTGCATCTCGGTCCTTAGTTTCCTGTAATAAAATGTTATATATGCCCCGAAACGGTATCAAAGATCAGATAAAGCGCTTCTGTGTATGAGAAAACACTGAACCACTATGTTTATTTATATGTGAATGACTTATTCTAGTGGTTGGAGGTCGCAAAACCGGTCTTTGAAATAACCTGTAGTAGTAGTCGAACATTGAGGAAATGACCAAGGCACTTTTTATATACTGCCGATTAGACGTCAGCTGCTTTCTATGATCTACATGTGTCTATCCCATTGGCCTCCTGTTGTATGTGCCAGTGTGATGCTAGTCTAGTTGGGTGACTATTGTCCCTCGGAACGGCCACTCTACCAGCTACCAGAAAGAGACCGGACAGGAGCAGCACGTCTGAACAGTTGATAAATATTGATACGGCATGCATCGTGTAAACAAAAGAGCGGTGCCTATTAGATCAGGTCATCTGCCGGCGGGCGATTCCACCAAAAGTGAACACATACAAACAGCTCCGACGAGCGTCTCGTGTAGCCATTTACAGATCCTCCCTTCCGAGACTTAGTACGATGGATGATTCCGAAACCCTTCCATTACCTACATACTATGGGTAACTTACATCGCGTAATATTCCCCGCGGTTTATCTTTGATTTGGTTTGTGTTCTTGTCCTCTGTTGTCTGTGAAAGCATGCAACTATTATTGCAATGAGCTGCTTTTACCACCCGCAAATGGTGTCTCTATCTGTCCCTTTTTTACATCAGCTACCTCCCGTGTTCAATCGAATGTGTCTCATTCGACGACCAGACTTACTCTGTACGGTGCTTGTTCGGCTTGGTCTCGTTCTTCTTTAGATGCACCGCCGTCCAGTCGACCACCACCACAAACCGCAGATCCTCAGACATATTTGTGCTACCACCCACCAGCTTGACCGTCCTCACCGTCGAGTGCTGCACCCCTCTCAAAGGTCCGTGTCCTGTTCAGCGCCCAACGCGCTCTTTCACAGTTAAGTCGGTCGACCACCACCACAAACCGCAGATCCTCAGACATACTTGTGCTACCACCCACCAGCTTAACCGTCCTCACCGTCGAGTGCTGCGTCCCTCCCAAAGGTTCGTGTCCCGTTCAGCGCACAACGCGCTCTTTCACATTCGTGTCGCTTCCGCAACTGATTATTTGTCTCAATTTTCTGTTAACAATCCATCTTCTCTTGGCATAGCACTCAACTCGTAAGGTTGCCGGGGATTTTTTAGCAGCCTAGTGAATGTCAGCTGTGTGTCGTGTCAGTAAATGTGCTGGGGCATCTTGAATATCCTGGCAACTG